TTCATTGTTAAGACAAAGTGAGAGCTTGCACATTAGACAAGTTAAAACCTGTTGATTTCAAGCCTTTTTTTTTTTCATTTTCGGTTTCATGTTATTTACTACACATACACACCAGGCACAATGAAGCAACATTCTTTTCTAGATTTATATTTGGGTGCTAACCAGTTGCGCCAATCGTTAGCAACTTTGTGCCTCGCAAACCAATTCACCAGTTTCATTCTTCTTATGCTAAGTCTTAGCAGCTAAGAACTTAAATAACTATATTTTGTTTTACGAATTCATAGTGAACAAATGGTAAATCTAAAACTTGGATTTTAAATGGCAAAATAATTGGGGAAAAAAAAATAAAAATGTAAAATTAAAAATTAAATAGAATTAAAATAGAAAAGAGCAGGCTGAAAGAAAAAAGTCAACAAATACCAGTAACTAACTCAGTAGTACAAAGAAAGTTAAAAATACCCAAGGAAAACATATCTATGATTCTTCTTTATGAAACAATTTGTGAGATTGCAATTGTAATTGTTGTCTAGTTTGTTAGCAAGTAAGATGATTTTTTTTTGTTGGAGATTTTATGAGGAAATCAAATATTTTGTATATAAAAATAAAAAAGTTCTTCATTTTTAAAGAGTTAATGAAGAAATGAAACTGGAGGGTGTGTAAATCAGATAAATAAAGAAAGTGACGAATTTATATATGATTATTATTTAAAAACAAAACAAAAGCCTTCAGCTTTTGAAGAGATTTAAAAAAAAGATATCTTGATCATAACCCAACTGCTACTTCTCATGATTCCAAGCCATTGGAAAATGTCCAATTGGCAAATGGATTTAAAACAGTTCTGTTGACATTGCTAGAATACAAAATCCTGACCAATGAAATTCGAAAGAATTGAATTAAAAAAAAAAGAAAGAGATAATTGAGATAGCATTTTTCTTTTATGGAAAATTTGCGAAATTTTTAAACAATTGGTGAAAATAGACAACAAAAACAAAATAAATAAATAAAAAATCATGTCGGTAACTGTTTGAATTCTCCATTAAATTTACCATTTAAAATAAGAATTCATTTTTAGAAAAAGACTAAGAGTTCATAAATCTCTTAAGTTGAGCAGTAGTGAGTTCGTTCCTTTTCTACCGTGACCTTGTATCGGACAAAGCTTAAAAAATGTATCAGACTCCTCAACTTAACAAATCATGATTTTTTTTTTTAAACAAAAAAAAAAAATCATGATTTGTTAAGTTAGTGGGTTCGATTCTCATGGTGCAGCATTGTACCCGACTAAGCTAGTTAGAGTAGAACCAAAAATACATCACCTTGCCGTGGGGGTAACAAACTAACTTGTCTCGTGGGTTATTATTTGCCTTTTGTGAGTTCGATCCTCATTGAACCCGCCCTTTCTAAATTACCAATGCCTCTCGCTGGAGTAGTGCAACAGTTAAAGAAAAGTAGTCTCGTCGTGACTGACTGGATATATCTTCTTACCGTACGACTTTGGTCTTCTTGTATGTACTATTGCAAGTTAAAGCTAATTGAAGTTAAATAAATTGAAAACTTATGAAAAAGAATTATTTGAGTTGAAAGTAATTTTAAATAAAAAATGAATTTTAAAAAAGTGTAAAGTTGTCAGTTATAAAGAAAACTGTTCTTTTATTTTTACCAAAATTTTAAACAAGAGAATCTTTGTCGTACAACAGAGTAGTAGTGAGTCCGATCCTCATGGGGCACTTTATATGGCCTTGCGCCAAAAATTGAACTATTTTTAATGACAAACGAAACATTAATAAACAAATTTAGAGTTCGATCTTTTCTTTACTACGTGCCCTACTTGTTTGTGCCCTATGTCAAAAAAAGTAAAGTAACTTAGTAAATACTGTTTTATTTTTAAAGAAAAAAACTTTATTTCTTCTGCTGATCGAAAAATAATTAAAAAAAAAAAAAAATAAAAAAAAAATGGATTTATAAATTAACTAAAAACTCCAGAAAACCAATACAAATAAATTTGCAATATAAAATTTATTTTCATACCGATTCTATTCCAGTTCAAATGAATGTCAACCAGAAAAAAAAAAAATCCTGACGGTTACGTAAGTTGTTGCTCTGTCGATAATGAGTTCTTTTTTTTTTGTCCTATTAAAACTTCTGAGCGTTTTTCAAAATTGCTTCTTCCGTTAAAATTTAGTTCATAATATTTTCATTCAATTAAACTTTATCGCTTTTTTTTTTAGTATGGGACACGAAATGCAAATTTATTATTGCAAGTAGGAAACAACAAGGAAAAAAAACTACCCTTCTTTGCTAACCCGTGGATTGCGAAAGCAAGTCCAACAAGTAGTGGGTTGGTTTGTTAGTAAATATATCGAGGTAAAAAGGATTCATGCATGTATATCTGTAAGTAGGTAGCAAAAGTGTTGCTTGGCAACAGTACTAAGTAAGAAAGTGGGAGGTATTTCGAGCACAGAGGCTGTAAAAGCGCAATGCAATTGACCCTTCAAATCATGTTGTGTCACGTGTAGCCTACACACGACATGTTGCTGCCCGTCGTCATCAGTCATGCCGACCCCTACACACCTCAACGGAAGGGAAAAAGATACGTAATAATCGTGATATTCAGTATACCTATTCTTATCGCCCTCGCTAAAGTTGTTACTTTGTTGTTCAATTTCTCTTGCCTTATTTTTTTCGTAAACAATAATAGCAGTTTAGACTAGGGACAAAAATAAAAACTTACAAAGATACGATACTGAGTAACTACTGAGTACTTCTACTTACCAAGTTAAATTACTTGCAAAGTTTTTATTTTAGTTTCAAATCGAAATTTTAATGAGCCAATTTAATTTAATGAAATCTTTCTGAAATTGAGACAAATTTATCATAAATTAAAAAGTAAATTTATTTTAAAACTAGCTACAATTTTTTAAAATTTATGGACTAGGACAATTTTTTGTAACGATCTGAAGATTAAATAAGGAAGAAAAACCATCAACATTGTGTCAGATTTTGCAGTCAGGTCTTTTCTCTGTGAAAAAAAAAATGTACTTATTTTGGAATTTATGGAATATATAACTTGTAAATCTTGTGTTTTTTTATTTGCTTCTCATCTTCATGTATTTTAAAATTATTATTATTTGCTGGTTTGTGAGACCAATGGATGAGCCTCACCTAAAAAAAAAAAAGTTTCAGATGAAAAGTCACTCACTGCTTATAGTCGTTGTATAATGGGTACAAGCGTGACTGCATAAAACATGCAAATAAAAATGGATATTTACTCATTCTTTGAGGTCATATTTTTAAGGAAAGATCTGTAACGAGGCTCACCAACCCGATGCCAAAAACGAAACCTAATGAGACCTTGTATCCTTCAATTCACACCACACTTGCGAGGTATGCAAATAAAATAAAAATAAAAATACTAATAGAATGTAATTTTTATGGATAGGAGAATCTTTTTTTAACTCTTATTACATAACAATAACATTCTAAGTTTAAACAAGTATTCGATTTCCCTAGGCTACTTTTTTTATTGGTCGCGGGGATGATAACCAACCAAGATCAATCACCGAATTTTTTTACGATGGGACATAGAATTTCTTTTTTTGTACTGTCGTTAATAAAAAAATATTATTATTCCTTTTCTTCACAATAATTATTTTTATTTAAGTCACAGATCTTTTTTAAGTGATCATCATTACATCAATTAAAATTTTTAAAATGATTGCTAAAAAGTTAAAATAAGTAAAGAAAAAGCTGAAAATGCTTTTAGTTTTCATTTATCTAGTTATCAAATAAAAAAAATCATTTGGTCTAATATTTTGGGGCAAGTAATTTAACCCTCGGATCTTTTCAAGAATTCCATGATTGACTTTATGGGGAAAAAGAAACAACATTGTTTTTTTTACTTTTAAATTTATTCAATTGTCACAACTTCACAACCATCATGAATATTTTAAATTATTTTAAAAATAAACTGAACATTAAACAACAGAAAGACTAAATTTTGATTCAAATATCAAAGAAATATAGCAAAAAAATCTTAGGTTTTTTTTTAGCTTTTAAAAAATCTGCGTTCATGACAATTTGTTTTTCATGAAAATATTTTTGAAGTTAAAACAAGAACAATAAGAAAAAAAGCTGACAATATTTGTTTTTCAGGTAAGTTTGCCCAAGAAGATGACCTTAAGAAATAAAAGAAAAAAAATAGGCAAAGATTGCTTTTATTAAAATTAAAAACTTTAAAGTTTTTAAAAGTCAATTTTTTTTTTTTTTTTTTTTACATTTACACTGTTTTTACCTTTTACAAAGTTTCAAAATCTATTTCGTTCGGTAAGGTTTGTTATTTTGCTTTAAAAGCAAAATTCCATATTTTTCACCTAATAATTTCTAAAAATAATAAATAAACGGATAAAAATAATACATGACAAATATATAAAAAATAAAATTATATCAGTTTTCGTTTCATTTAAAACTTTAGATTTTTTTTTAAAGGGAAAAGGAAATTTTAAGAAATACATGTTTGAATATATCCTCATATTTTTCTGTGACGAATGAATTATGAATAGTTTTTTATTTAATTTAAATAAAAAAATTTACTCCAAAAAATAAAATATCGAAAAAGAATTTAAAAAGTCGGATTTTTTTTAAAATTTAAACATTGAAAATTTGTATTTTTAACCTTCAAATTAAAGCAAAGAATTTAGAAGAAATGCATATTATTTGATAATTGTTTTTATTCATCTTGAAGAAAAAATACATTCGCACTTTCAGAAAGTAGATAAAACTCCGAAGAAAGCGCAAACAATTAAGGACACAAAATGGAGGATCAGTTTATTATGCAACTTAACTTCATAACTGATCACCCACTTTGTCACTTTTTTTTTTAGCCAAACAAAAAATACGGTCCCTGCCAAAATACCAGAAAAAATGACTTTCGATCGGTGAATCAAAGATAAGAGCCTTAAAAAAAAGGAAAGACAATAAATTAAGATGTGTTAACTCTTACTTACAACATTACGTAGGTGTGCAAATTCGGCATTTGACCCGTTTTTTGAGGGCGATCTCCCCACCACAAGATTAATAACAACACCATCAACAATAAAGTTACAATCTTGGTCTCCGCTGCCGTATTTTTCGCGCAAAGCATCTGTAAATGATTTCGCTTGTTCTTTTCCTTCGATTTTATCAATTGATGAGAGTTGGAATTGTTCGCAGTGATCTACTTCCATCTTTTGCTTAATTTTAGTACATCACACTTCGCAAGACGATAACAACAACAGAACAAAACTAAATATTTACTACAAGTCGCCTCACGCTTTTGCAAGCTATTTTTAGACGATGTTTTGATCAGGGGACCTCATGCACAAGCACAAAGTTTCTATAGGAAAAACTATTTTGAAGATTTTGCTTAAACAAACACAAATATTACAATTTAGGTACTTTATATTACTGGAAAAATATTTTAAAATATCCAATAATATTAATTTTAATTAATAACTCTACCATTTAAACCATTATAGAAACATAGGTCTTAGCCCATTATGTTTTCTATCTGATTAGCCAATCAGAACGCTGCATTACCCACGCTACCAAAAGTAAGTCACGGAAATAGCCGATCACTTCCGAGTGCTTCACCTCTGTCAAAATGGCCGATTTTGAGAATTTCGAGTCCACCGGTGAGCCTAATGTCGAAGAAGATCCAGCCGCCGACTTCCTGGCTCGAGAACAAACTGAATTAGCTGGGCTTGAAGACGATAACTTCGCTATCGAGGAATCTAGCCAACCTTCTGAAGGTAATTTATTTCTATTTTCCTCGTAAATGATCCCGTCGCATGTTGAAAGTGTGACATGGCAGTAACACCCCCTCACAATACGCCCATCAAAATTTAGAAATTGTCCCTGAGAGGAACCAATACTGTGTTCATTGCTTAAAGTATTGCTTCATTCAGTTTCAGTTATTTTCTGGATATTACAATATGATTATATTTAGTTAAGAGATCAAACAAGTATATCACTTTTAGAGACGATGATGTGTTGCTTTTTTGAACACTACCATTTGACGAAAAAGTGAATTAATTTTTTTTCTTTTAATGACAACCTGTAAGATTTAAATGGTATAATATTTGATATTTAGTACTTAGGTAGAAGTAGATTATATTTAGATCCACAATAGAAAAAGACTTGTGAGATGTAATCACTTTATTGTTGTTATTATGCAAAATGTTGTCCCAAGGACAATTTGAAACCGTTCTCCTCTCGATCAGATGATCAGTTTACGAACGGCCACACAAGGCAAGTCACAATATTGATTACGGAACTAACCGGATAAAAATCATTCATAAGATGTCGTAGAGGATTTTAATAACTCCAGTTAAACATTATCCCAGAATTGGTGGTGGACATTTCAGTTGACTACTCTTCCATTGAGTCATAATCGTACCTTCAGATCCACCCATTTTATTTTATTTTTAAAAATATATTTCTTACTTCAATAATTCCTATAACCGTCGTTTTTTTTTTTTTTTTTTTTTTTTTTTTATCTAAAGTAGACTTTGCATCTCTAGTTTAATTAGAGAACTTAGTTTCTCATTTTTAAAGGAAAGACTGAATGAATGAACTTTTTCACTTCAGTGACTTAAGTCTCATCAAGTGAAAAAAAATTCCCTAGGCTTGATCATGGTTTTAAAAGTAATTCTTACTTTTAAAAAATGTCAGTGCTAGATATTCCATTTTCCATATTAAAAAAAAAATGAAATTTTATTGTGTTTAAGTCTTTAAGAATGCATTTAATTCGATGGTCATCACTGAAGTTAAAAAAATGTTAGTAAATTTTTTTTGTGATAGTTTTATTTTTTGTTAGGGAAGGAAAATACTATTTTTTCAAAATGTTAAATTATTGATAAAGTCACAAAGTCAGCTTTAATTCTTACTAATGCTCCAAATTAAAATTTTCTTTAAAAAATGCTCATTGTTTTTGTAAACGACACTTGAAACGTTGATATTAGTAGTGGAAGACTTCTAAAACACGATTTACCTGTTCTAATACACGTTATACAGCTACTAATGTAGACTTCTTACTAGTGAACTTTACAGCAAGCGGATCCTGTTATCAATTAGAGATAGACACGTGAATAGTGGGCGATCCGTACTGACTGATCGACTTTCTTTTTAACAGATTGTCCTGGAGCGGAAAATAAATTTGTTATAAAAATTATTAAAAAATATAATGACATCTATTGTCATTTTTCGTAGGTGAAGTCTGAAATGATTTTTTTTCTTTTTTTTTAAACAATTCACTTCAGACTTCACCTATGTTTCAGAAGGAATACAGATTTTCTTTTTAATGGCCTCTCTGAATTTCACGCTATCAAAACTTAAGTTGATTTTTCAAATATTCATTTTTTAGTAATAAAATCTTGGTCGATTTAGTTAGGCAATAACAAATATTGTTAAATAAAAAAGACGAAACCAGAAATACTGAATGTTTAACTTTAGTTAGATTAAAAATAAAATAATCTTTGAAAGAATTTAATTATTTAGCTCCCACCCACTAAGTTTTTTTTGTCAATTGAACATCGTCTTGCTTGCTAAAACAGGATGTCTAATTGCAAACTATCTTAATTTAGGCGTGTATGGGGGGGATAAGGAAATCCATAGGAATTTATTCTATTAACAAAGTTTAAAGTAAAAGAAGATATTTTTCTTTCATGTGCTGTGTCACTTTACGACATGGACTAACATGGCTCTCCATTGCTTCCTGCCCTTCTCTACCAGTCTGCTCTCTCATCCATTTACATAAAATCGTTAGACAAGATAACTGACTTAATTTCAAATGCAAATGCTATACCACACAAATAAATTGAGCATTTAAATTTTAAATGCTGTTTTCTTGTTACTAACAAAAAGCTAGCATTGGGTTCACTACAAGCAAAGGGAGAATGATAGCTTGGAACATGTTGGTCATAGGTTCTAATGCATATTTTAAGCATTGTCCCATATAAGCCAGTCAAGGTGGTTTAAACTTGATTTTTTTTTTAATACTAGTATTAAGCACATATCGTTATGAAGTGCGTTGAAGTAAATTTACAATCAAACAACTACATTATTGTTGATCTGGTACTATATGTCTTAAAATTCTTGACAAAATCCAAAGAAGGATCTGTAATGTAATCGCTCTTGACCACCTGGCATCTTGACTTCAGTCACATTCCCACTGTCGTGACCTGACTTCCTTTTGTCTTTTCTGAAATATTTTCATGGTAATTGTTCTGATGAGCTTTCCTCTTTGGTGTCATGACTGTATGAATTTAACTGTGCTACTAGATTGGCATCTAGGTCTTACTGTTTTACTGTTGAACTAGCTATATGTAACTGTATGTTTCTTACACTTCTTGCCAGTGAAACTCTCTTCAGGTTTCTTACTTCCCTGCTACCTACAATCTTCAAAAATTTAAATTCAATGGCAATCACCATCTTCTGTCTTACTGAAACCAGTTCTTTTACTGTCCTTTCTTCCCACTAAAGTCTTCTCATTCTCTTTAGCTTCCAGTAACACCTTGTCTTAGTGGCATTATTGCCTTGCTAGAGTTAAAAGGATTTAAAAAAAACTAGCAGCACTAATTTACATTCAGAATTTATAAATGGTGATGGTCAAGATATACAGATGACACTGTTGATTGCAGACACCAAAACAAAGCTACCTGACCTTCTAGACAATATAGTAAAGAAAAGTAAGAAAAAATTATTAGTCATCAGCAGTAAGAAGATGGAAAGTAGAGTTGTCATCAAGACCAAAAGGTCAAGATGTGAAGTACAAATTGAAGGGGTCAAATTTAAACAAGTACAAAAGTTTAAATTGCTATCTCTCTCTCTATCTATCTATCTATATATATATATATATATATATATATATATATATATATAAAAAATGAAAACTTTAAAAGATCATTATGATATTTATTTCATTAGAATTATTATACACACACACACACACACAGAGATAGATAACTCCATTATATGTTTTGTAATTATTTCTACATAATACACTTTAATTATGGGTATAATTTATAGACATAGAATGAAAATACGTTTTCATTACAACTTTTGTTCCTGTTAAACAAATACAATGAAATCATTTTACGCAACAATTCATTCATTTGATAAAGTATTAACAGCAGGATTTCATTACAAACAATCATTCTACAATTGCACTTGAGCTGTATACACATACACAAATAGCTCACTTATTTTGAGATCTGACCTCAGTTTTATTTTATAATCACTCAGTATTAGTACATCGGTAAAGTTGAACTAGGATAATGATTAAAATCAACTGGCAAATTCATGCAGGCTTCTTGTACTCATCTATCATTTGTTTTTACTATGAAAAAAAATTTTTATATGGAGATTAGACATTAAAACTGTTAAACTTTGGTAAAAAATTTTTTCAACATGCAATTTCATCAGAATGTTAGAATTAATTTAAGGAGATCTGCATAATCTGAACTGTTATTTTTCCAATGTGTTCTTTTGTTTTAATTATCAATTTGTGTTGTGGAGTAACACACTCCTGCTAACACAAATGAACTAGGCAAGGTGCCTTAAATAAAGAACTCAAAGTAAGTCAGGAGAAGTTTGTTGGAGTCAGTCAGTCAGGAGACTCCAACAGAAGAATTCTAATGACGTCACAGCAAGTAGCCTAAGCAAGACATGATATTATAACTGTTAGGAGTGAGTTATAACAGTGGCAACGGGTGATCGACACCCATAAGGAGTAGGAAAAAGAACTTTTTGCTTTGGTGCACATGATGCCAGTGATGATGAGAAATTAGAACCACATTGTTTTTTTTTCTTTGGTGTGTGAAAAAAAAAACAAAAAAAAAAACAGATATTCTTTAAATATGGAAGAATTATTAGCCCATGTGGTAAAAATACAACAGCAGTTGTTGGAATTCCAGAAACAACAACAAAATTTAATTGAAATAATACAGAAGAAAACAAAAAAATTCCCCAAGTTCTTTCATTCCTGAAGAAGCAGCAAATGCCATAACTGAATTCACATACAATTCAAATGATAGAATTACTTTTCTTCTTATTTTAGAAGATACAAGCAAATTTTCAGAGAAGAATACTGTGACTGGGAAGATGAGAAAAATAACAAAACTTTTGTTGAGAAAGTTAGCACTGGTAAAACATGAAAAATACAGTAATTTTGTACTATTGAAAAAACCAGGAGAAATTTGCTTTGAAGAAACAGTAAATATTCTGACTAAAAGATTTCAGCAAAAAAAGTCTGTTATTCAATACTTGTTGGAAGTGTATGAATCTGATAACAAAAGAAGATAAGAATTTTGTCACATATGCTGAAATCATTAACATCATTGAAAGATGCAAATTAAAAAAAATTGATTCTGAATATGTTTAAAGAGTTAATTTTTGTTCAAGGGTTAATGGCGGAAAAAAGGCACAGAAGTATGTACTGGAATTCTAATGAAACTTAAATAGAGTCAAAAACTAACACTACAAGAAATATCATATGAATGTCAGAGAATCCTAAATCTGAGACGTGATACAGAAGAAATTGAAGAAAAAGAATGAGTGTACATACAAGCTAAAGAAAAATGTGGAAAAAAGAAAAATTAATCCATGTTTCAGATGTTGAAGGTAACATCTCGGAGATGACTGTCAAAGTCACTGTAAAACTAAAGCAAGGAAAAGTTCTCTCAGAAAAAATTTTGTGTACAGCATTGCAATGGAAAAAATAATGACAGAAAACCAAAGAAAATTTGTGCAT